AACATAAAGATGCAAATCACATATGTAACGTATTTATAACGGATTTTCAAATTTAAATTCAATGAATATCATTTATATGTTATGCAAAAATACGTCAAACCGTTAATAAAAAGAAAAGTCAATTTAATTAAGTTGGTGAAGTGTTACAAATAATGCAATACATTTAAAACAGCATAAATTTATGCTCAAACTATGTGTGCTAAATGCACATCGCATATTAATAGTTATTTTGCATTAATTCGTAACGGACTTGTGCTTAACGGTTTTTTTGAAAATTCAAATTTTCACTTACGAATATTCATGAAAAAATTACATGTCAATTTTTTTGTCTTACCAGAATATCTTTAGCTGCTCAAATTTATGGTATAATTAATAATTAGTAATATTATTTAAACTATAATGAATCATATAAATGACTTTAGAGCATCACAAGTATAATATTTAATACAAATCAAAATTTTATATCATTGACATTGGATTTTTTCCCATATAAAAAAGTTTTACATAAATTGTACTATAATTAAGCATTTTTGTGTTTCCAAAGTGTTAAAATATTGTATTGTCACCGGGAATACATGTGCATTAAAAATTTGAGCTCGATTGGAGCAGTAGAAGTGGTCGAAAAATTGATTGCAAGATTTGAAATTTTTTGCAAACAAACAAACAAACAAACAAACAAACAAACAAGAAAGCAAGTTAAGAAAAACGTAGTAAAATGTCCTAAAAAAGAAAAGTTTATGCATCTTCTAAAAGAAACTGAAAGCAAGCTGGCAGAAAATCTCAATAATTGGACATCACATAGACTTATAGTTTTTTGCTTTAGATCCATGCTGCCCTAAAGAAGAGCTTGTAGATAGATTGGCAAAGCTTCGAAATGAAGTGTAGCTTTAATGGAGTCTCATATCAAGTCATACAACACACAACTTATACATGATGGTTAAAAAATAAAATAAAAAATTATTCTAATGGTTTAATTAACTTAAGCTACAAAAACCGCAAGTTTAACTATAATAAGAATAAAATACTATAAAAAAAAGTTTATTAAAAAAGCACGCTTTTATTTCCGATTACAGTGCACTAAAAAGGAGAAAATAATTTTTTCCTGAAAACTCAAATATGATACAAAATTTTATGCCAAAAAATAAAAGCGTGGGGCGTTCTTGCATATATCACTAAATCTTGAATTTGTGAAAATTAAAAATAATCCTTATATGTTTACACAAGCATTAGGTTTGTGAATTTATTATAGAAAATCTAGAGCTGGTTTAAATTAAACTCACCACGCTTTTATTTTGAGTCATAAAATTTTGTATCAAATTTGAAAGCTTAGCAAAAAAAATTATTTTCTCCTTTTTAGTGCTCTGTAATCGGAAATAAAAGCGTGCTTTTTTTAAAAAAGTTTTTTTATAGTATTTTATTTACTACTTTTTAGTCTTATCAAATCTATAAATCGATTCAACTTCCAAAATTTGGAGTTTTTGTTTTGTTATAACACTGACTTTATCAAACTTAATAAGGAGGTTACAGTTTTTAGATTACAGGAAATTTTAGACTCCACTTCCTTTCACTCCGTTTCGTTCAACTATTTATAAATTACCAGTTTTAAATGGGTAATTAGGAAAGACTGTCAAAATTTTTCATTCGTTTTAAATTATTTAAGTCATACCTGAAAGCACATGAAACTCTTTCAAAAATGTCCTAACTTCAATTAAAGATATTCGGCCTGTTTCACTAAAGTGGATTATCCTCGATTTCGGATTATCCACTTCAGTTTTTTGTTCCTGAAATTTCTGTATACTTTAAACTTTTACTTTTCGTTAAGAACTATCAATTATTCAATTTCCTAGCCAAATCTAGTAGATTAACTTCAATATTTGCTATAATTCTCAAACTAGTGAAGATATAAAAATTCTAAGTTTATGTTAATTTAAGTAGCAAAATACTCTAACTAGATCACACATTAGATCTCTTAATAACCTTAAGCATCTGGAGATATTTCCCAAAAACTGAAGTGGATAATCCGAAATCGAGGATAATCCACTTTAGTGAAACAGGCCGATTGTGTTTATCCGTACCATTCCTACTACATAACATGTAGATTCTTAACATAAAGATTCAAATCATATCTATATGTAACGTATTTATAACGGAATTTTCAAATTTAAATTCAATGAATGTCATTTATATGATATGCAAAAAAACGTCAAGCCGTTAGTAAATAGAAAAGTCAATTTAATTAAATGTTGGTGAGTTGTTATGAATTAATGTAATACATTAAAAGCATATATATTATGCTCTAACTATGTATGCTAAATGCATATTAATAGTTATTTTATATTAATTCGTAACTGACTTGAGCTTAACGGTTTTTTTGAAATTCAAATTTACACTCACAAATTTTCATGAAAAAAATACTTGTCAATTTTTTTGTTCTACCAGAATAACTTTAGCTGCTCAAATTTCTAGTATAATTAATAATTAGTAATATTAATTAAACCATAATGAATCATATAAATGACTTTTCAGTATTTCAAGCATAATATTTTAAACAAGTCAAAATTTTATATCATTGAAATTGGATTTTTTCCCATATAAAAAAGTTTTACATAAATTGTACTATAATTAAGCATTTTTGTAGTTCCAAAGTATTCAAATATTGTATTGTTACCGGGAATACGTGTGAATAAAAAATTTGGGCTCGATTGGAGCAGTAGAAGTGATCGAAAAATCGATTATAAGATTTGACGCAAATAGAAAAAGCGTGTAATAAAATAATAATAAAATAATAATAAAAACGTGGTAAAAAAATGAAAATCTGTGTTATTATTCATATTTTTTTGATTGTTTGTAAAAATTCACCGTGCTTTGAGATCCAATGAGATCTAGAAGCAACAGTAAGATTCAGGACAATTAATATCTTGTTGATTATGGGCAATTCTTTGGATGAGTGGAATTTGAAAAAAATGAGCTTTCATAATCCAATGTCAATGAGTTTTGTGTCAATAAAATGTTTTCTTTAATTTCATATTACTGTGAAGGAATAATAAGCCAGAACTTTCGTAGATCATTAAGCATAATTAATTCTTTACAAGTGATCTATTGAAATGTTACAACTCACCCAAATTAAGTGAAAAATTGAAAAAATATGTTTGAAAATTTTGTATTTTTTCACGGATTAAGACAAAAAAAAGCTTCTTTATAACTCGATGACACAAGGAAATTTTTCAACGAATTGAAATATTTCATTAATTACTGACTTAATGCATACAAAAAAGCAACCTAATTAAAGATTTTTGTCTGTTCTATAACTCAGTAAAAGTTATTAAATGTTAATTTCAATAGTTTTCTCTAATTTTCGATTCTTTGGATGATGAAAATTGAAAATTCCGATTTCTGTCATCGAGTTATTGACAAAAGAATCCAAATAACTTAATTAATACAGCGATTAGAAGTATATGATATCAAAAGGAGTGTACATTTTATATTTTTACATCGATAAGAATCATAAAATCAGTGCCTCTGATGGGAAAAATCAATAAAATTTCGATTTTTTGCTGAAAATTTTCCGAAAGTCATCCAAAGAATTGCCCAGCTAAACTTCGCTTAGTACATGTTTGAAAGATTTTAAAACTTAACGAGTTAGCTGAGCTTCGCTAAGTATAAGTTTGAACGAAAATATGAAAATTCTAAAGTTTGGTTTACAATTTTTGACACAAATACTAATTTAAACATGAAAAATTAACTTTAATCTGAAAGTTCATTAAAGAATAAAGCATTTACAATACCCGTTTTTAGCAATCACTTTTTCATATGAACTCCTCTGTATGTGGGCAATTCTTTGGATGACTTTCGGAAAATTTTCAGCAAAAAATCGAAATTTTATTGATTTTTCCCATCAGAGGCACTGATTTTATGATTCTTATCGATGTAAAAATATAAAATGTACACTCCTTTTGATATCATATACTTCTAATCGCTGTATTAATTAAGTTATTTGGATTCTTTTGTCAATAACTCGATGACAGAAATCGGAATTTTCAATTTTCATCATCCAAAGAATCGAAAATTAGAGAAAACTATTGAAATTAACATTTAATAACTTTTACTGAGTTATAGAACAGACAAAAATCTTTAATTAGGTTGCTTTTTTGTATGCATTAAGTCAGTAATTAATGAAATATTTCAATTCGTTGAAAAATTTCCTTGTGTCATCGAGTTATAAAGAAGCTTTTTTTTGTCTTAATCCGTGAAAAAATACAAAATTTTCAAACATATTTTTTCAATTTTTCACTTAATTTGGGTGAGTTGTAACATTTCAATAGATCACTTGTAAAGAATTAATTATGCTTAATGATCTACGAAAGTTCTGGCTTATTATTCCTTCACAGTAATATGAAATTAAAGAAAACATTTTATTGACACAAAACTCATTGACATTGGATTATGAAAGCTCATTTTTTTCAAATTCCACTCATCCAAAGAATTGCCCTTAAGCAAGTATTTTTTTAAGTCAAGACAATTAACATTCATAACATAACAACTAAGTAAGTTTTATTACCAATCATAAATTAAGATGTTTCACAACTTAAAATAAAATTGAATTAATCTTCTTATATTCATAAAATTTCGAACAATTTAAAAATTCAATCGTATAATAGTTAAAGCAGTGATTCTCAAACTTTTTTTTCCTATGACATATTTTCAATGTGAAAAATTTCAGCGGCACACTATCATTTTCATAAACATTTTGAAAACTTGTTTTCTAAATAGGAGCTTAATCATGCAGTTTGTTCGTTTACTCGGGTAAAAAATTTTTATGAAAATTTAAAATGATTTAATAAGTCCAAAGATTAGTGAAGCGCTAAAATGTATTTTTTTTTTCATCACTGATGAAATAAATTATCATATTTTGACGAGCAAAAATCGTGATTTTTTTCATCTTACGTATCTACGTAAAAATAACTCATGAAGAAAATCACACGTAAAATTTCATCACGAAGGGCATAAATTATCAGCTGAAGTCACTCGATAAAATACAAGGACTTTTGTTATTTTTCAAGTCAAAAACTATGAATGTATAAAGTCGATTTTTGTTTTCATTTTTTCATTTGTCCACATGACAATTTTTCACGGAACACTAGTGTGCCGCGTCAAACAGATTGAAAACCACTGAGTTAAAATGTAAACACTTGCCAGATTACAACTATTTATAGGAATTTTTTTGGATGAGTTTTTGGAATTTTTCATTAGAGAATCGATTTTTTTCTAAAATTTTTTACTGTCGGTTCTCATTTTATTGGTTTAATTAGTGTGTTTGGCCACTTTTGATTACAATCAAATAAATATAGTGGCTCCATTAAAATTGAATTAAGCATTCAAAACATAAAAACTGAAGAGATTTTTGAGAAAACAGTTTTGCACCTTAAGTGTAATTGACTCTGGATTATGAAAGCTCATTTTTCAGAAATTCTACTCATCCAAAGAATTTCCCTTATATTAATTTTGTATAAAAAACAAGTTTCGAATTACATAGTTTTATCTCTTTTGAGCCTTTTACAACAAACATGTATTATTCTCAAGGCTTTGGGGAGAATAATAGTAGCTTGTAAAAATAAAATAGTGTTTGTACAAAATATCAAAATATTATCGACAGTTGTCTTAAAACCAATAAGTAAGTTGCATTGATCCAAGTTCTCCAGTTTTTTGTGTATCCATAACACTTGGTTGTCTCACAAGTTTCTTCATTGTTTGACGTCTTTCTATACGTCTTGCTTCAAGGGGCGTCTTTTCATCGATTGTTGATGTCTTAAATGATATCACCTGACTTAATTCAATATCATCTTTTGCTGCTAAATTTTCGTAAGAACCAGATGCTGACTCAAGCGTGATTTCAATTGGAGTGCATCTCATACAATCATTATAATTCCAATTCTTTCCAAATTCTTCACCTTCTTCAATTGTTTGTGGTAATCGTGAATTAAGAGTTTCTGGTAACCTTAATCCAGTAAATCCACCAGCTGTAACAAGCCATCCCATTATGAATAATGGTAATCGTAGATTTTCTTTTCCAAGATATGTAATAAATGGTATTATGATAAGTCCCAGACCACCAACATAGCTTGAGAAACCAATACCGACGCCTCGAGCCTGCGTTGGATACAGTTCACCCGCAAACGGATAAATTATCAAAAAAGATCCACAAATCATTGACTTAGAAATAAGATACAATATAAGGGTTCCCATTTCAGCATCTTCAGGTAATAATACTGTTATTACGCAGCTAATACCACCAAGAATCATAAGTAAGCACATTGGCCATCGTCTACCATAACGGTCCATAACAAACCAACATAAAGCATAACTCGGCAATTCAACCAGTGATGACAGAAAGAAGCTCAATGGTGGATTACTTCCTAATGATGGCCCATAATAGCTCAATCCCAAATAAACTGTCTCATTCGCAAACCAATTTAGAGTGATGAGAAAAGTTTTCATACGCATATTTGGAGTTCTATAAATATGAAGAAAAAAAAACTAAAAATATAAATAAAAACTCATGCATCGCAAACCAAAGATGTGTATACATACTTGCATAAATCTAATGCTCCAACATTGCGGTCTTTTCTTTTAATTTTTCTTTTTTTCTCTTGCAAAACACGTTCTTCTAATTTGCTATGAAAGGTTTCAGGAAATTCTTTTCCATTTATTCGTGCCATTGTTTCAAGTATCTTTAGTGCATCTTCTAATTTACCTTTGGCAAGGAGCCATCTTGGACTTTCCGGCATGATAAAAATGTATAAAAAATATAACAGGAATGGAACAGATGTTACGAGACTAAGAATGAACCAGTCTTTAACGAACACAGTAACCAATGCAAGGCCCATCAGACCAAATGTATAAAATGTGCAAGTCATAACTGTTACAAATGAACGATAATTTGGTCCAACAAGTTCTAATGCTAAAATGGAAGAAATATTAAAGTTTGATATTTAGAACATTAAAAGCTTTGCGTAAATTAATTTACCGATTATGAATGGAATTTGATAAACAGCTGGTATAGTAAGTCCAACGATAATTCGACTAAACGCCCACACACTGAAGCTTGTACTAAAAGCTGTGATAAAGCTTCCAATTAATAATGTTCCCAAACACGAGAAGTATGAAAAACGCCGTCCATATCTGTCATTAAGCATTCCAAAAAAATATACTCCAATCGGACCACCAATGTTGAGTGCTACTAAGCCTAAAGTAGGATAAATATCCTTTTCACAGACTAAATCGTACTGATATATAGCGTATCGAGAATGTGAAAAAAAATTATTATTTTTCCCAGATTAAAAAAATTACAAGTAAATGCAAGTTAAAAATATGGAATAATTAATTGTAACATTGTCATTGTTTTAACTAATTAGGACTTACATCAATCACAATTGAAGACTCTACATTTGTTTTGTTATATTCCCATCCTTTGTCACATTCCTGAGTTGATAATGATCCGTTTGGTACAAAAGATTCAAGGTTGCCCTCTTGCAAAATTATATCCCAATCCACTGCATACCTCCGGCATTTATCATACACCTGCTCTCCATTCTTCTACAAAAGAAAAAAAAGATTGCACAAGATTAGCTATCATAAGAAATAAGTCTTTACTTAGAGTAGATAATTTTAATTGACCAAGTTTGGAAATACAATTTCTGATTTATTATTCCAAGATATTCAAAGTATTTCACAGAAAAAAAAATAAATCTTTTAAACTCCCCAAATTGATTTATTAGAAATCTACAAAATTGTAATTTAATAACAATTTATTCAAAATATAAACCTTTGCTTAAAAAAAGCATAAAAAATTTATTTTGACACGAAACAATAAACAAACAAAAGCGACAGATTTTGGTCTTATTATTATCTTATTTATTATATACATTTCCTTTTTTATTTCCATCTTTTATTTTCATGCTAAACTTTGCACATCCTTTTCTTATCAGAAATAGAGTTTATATTGCGCTCTAACTTCATCACACATTAAATTGAATTTTCATTCGTCAGTGTCGCATTGGTGTGGCATTCATTGATCAAAGTCGAGGTTAAACGTATTATATATGATTGCATACCCACCATTTTTCTATACACCACATTATATTGAAAAAAATTGATCCTGACACGACGCACGCGAGTCACATAAGAAAATCTGATAAAACGTAAATCTTACACTCATACACTAATGCGCTCGTCTTTGTTATTTTTGACTTTTTTTCTCGGTATATTGTATTGCATACATTGTTTCGCACAGATTCCTATAAACTTAAACTTACAGAACTTGTGCAGTTCGAATGGATGGAATTAAGTAAAAGTGTGGAAGAAATTAACACACCTGATGTTTTTTTCTGGCTCTGTCCCTTGTTTTTATAAATGTATGGTCATGTATCAATAGGGTGACCATCTAATTTTTATGAAAATACAGGACATTTGATAAATTTCCTAAAAAATACAGGACACAAAGGAAATTTGAAAATTAACGGAAATTTTCGTGAAAAAAATACAGGACCTGGAACAAAATTTTCAAATTTATACAGGACAGGGTTTTGAAATATAGGACTGTCCGTTGTAAAACTACGCACACCCTATGTATCAAGTGCTTCCAGCTCCAAAAACTCGTATTATTTTGTTTTTGATTTAGGACATGACTTATATCCGACTGAATCAATGCATATGACTGCTTACAAACACAGACGTAGTAAATAAAAGAGCTCTAAAATACTCACTGTGAAAGACGGTATTGATAAGAGTTTTCTATGTTCTTCGGTTACATTCATTAATTGAGGAACTCGACACCAATAATCCTCAGGAGTGTCTGTTAAATATTAATAATCATAACATTATAATTACATAAGAATATAAAAAAAAATAAAATTTTTATCTGACCAGCCATAAATAATTGATTAAACGCGCAAAAACCACATGGCACACACGCAGGCAAACATATAAACCATAGTAACAATTTTTGATATTTTCCAAACTCTCCTATTGATGGTAAAAGCTCATCTAAATCGAATGGCTCCTGTTGGTTTGAATGAAAAAAAAATGTAATAAATTAATCCATAATCAAAACTGATCAAACATAAAAATTTGCACATTTCCATCAAACCTTTCTACCATAATAAACAAAGAGTATGCTCATTTTGTGAGCCTGGGTATGCTCAGCTGAGAATGCTCAGCAAAGAGATATGACACATTAAATTAAAGCACACTCAGCTGAGCATACTCTTGAGTAATTTGTGAATGAGCACCAATTATGTTTTGCATGCTCAATTTTATGTCATAACACAGGACACAAAAAATGTTGCATGTCACACAACAATTTGAGCTAGCTCTTTGTCTATTCGGGCAAGTTTCTTCGCAATTATCATTCGATATGTAAAATGACATATAAACTGCCGTATTAAGTATTTAATATATTCAGGATAAAAAATTGCAAACAATTCTGATATGTATGTGCATTCAGTAAAGGATTTATATATACATATATATGTTCTCCGTGTACATTTTTGAAGTAGTGCTAGTAATATTTGAAAATTTAACGATAATTTTTTTTATGTGAATAAGTCATAAAGACGGTTGTTTTAAACAGTGCTCAATGTTTGTTGAAAAAAAGTAATAAAATCACTCGATTGATTTATATAAATTCAAAAAAAAAACTCGTATTTCACATTACCTAAGTGCTTAATGAACCGATGTGTCATTGGAAAATGAAATCTATATAATCCAGATAATGCGAAAAATGAAAAGAATCATTGATTTTTATTTTTTTATATGTTTTTTTTACTCTACTAAACTCATACTTGTTCAGTATGTTGTAATCTTTTTTTTTTCAAAAAAAAAACATGGTCTTAGAAATTAAAGACGGAGGAAAATTTTTCTTGCAAACTTAGAGAAAGTCTTTAGTTTCTCTAAATATTATTATTTTTTACACTTTCAAAATCATTCAAAAATAAATTTTAAGAATTTTTTATTTCTTATTTTACACATACATCAATAATACTTTCTTTGAAAATGATAATAATCGATACAAATTTAATCGTATTATGTGTTTTATCTAGGTTCAATTTCACAATTTCACATTAACCAAATAAATAAAGTTCACCATTATAACTTTGTTTTTTGTACTTACATTATCAAGATCTGTTATTTCATTTTCATTTATCTCTTTGACCATTTTGCTTGGATTTAGTGCTTGATACAATTAATTATTTTTTGTTACAAAAATATTTTGCAATAAATGTGTTCATAAAATATTTTTTCACCAATTGATAAGTTTATCAATTTCAAGAATTTTTTATTATCAATTGAAACATAGAAATTCAAAATTAAAACAAATTAACACTTCAAATTTTATCTAATATTTTAGTCGTTTAAATAGATTGCCTTACAGTAAGACAAGCTAAATTAGTTCTAAGTTAATAGAGCAAAAAAAGGAAATTGATATTAACATCAAATGCAAAACTAGTAAATTCTGTTCAACTAGAGTTTTCACTCATTTTCTCTCTCTCTATTCACTCAGAAAATATACTGAAATATACTTTAGCGCTTAATAAACACTCAATAAATGAGTTGTTGTAAGATTCAATATGACCAGAACTCATTGAATGAAACCTTACAATTATAACAATAACATTCTCACATTCATTATTGTTTATATGAATATAAATTACCTAATAAACAGTAGAAAAAAAATACAAAATCATATAGAAGTCTGTTTATTTTTCTTTTAATATTTAAAGGAAGATGTAATGATTTCAGACAAATAAGTATCAAGAGCATATTCGAGAGGATAGTTGGAGCGATTGATAACTTAAATTTGGTTCTAGCATGCTTTGCTAAAGTTTAAACGAAGTTCACACACTGTTTTGTCGTACCACATTCCCGAATAGACAAAAGCGTGCTCACTTTTGTGAGCAGGTTAATGAGCGTGCTTAAAATCATTTAACGTGCTCACCTGACCACACTCAGTTGAACATGCTTGTAAGCACATTGTGAATATGCTCAAAAAAAACAAAATTTTTTTAAATTTTTCATTTTAATCAGCACTAAATTTGAGCGCACTCATAGCGTGTTCTTTGTCTATTCGGGATTGTTACTGATTTAATTAAACGTAATAAAAGTTGCTCATCATAATTGAGATAAGTATATAAGTCAAAGGAAAAAAAATAATGAATGATACTAATCAAAATAAATGTGTTGAAGTTACTTATAAGCAACGAAAAGTGAATCAAGTGAATCAATTTAATCAAGATTAAAAGTAAAATGAATCACGCATTTGTTAGATGAATATAAATTTTCGAAAGCAGGAAAACCTTTATCTTCTCTTAAATCTCACAAATCATTGAGTTAAAATATAATTCAATATTTTCCCTAATTGGCAAAGAGCACAGAAAGAGCACACTCTAATTTTTGCTGAGTGTACTCTAAAAAGTATGCTCTTTCATACAAAAGTTTGTGCCACTACTTTACGCCTAAAAGTGTACTCACCAGAGCATACTCACTCAGTTATACTTTGAGCACACTCTTGAAATAAAACATTTTTTTATGTGTCATGTCATATGTGACACACTTTATGCTCAATTAAGCACATAAAACATATGCTCAAATGAGCATACTTAGTTTGACATACTTTTAATATACTCATAAAAGTACATCTTAATCTGACTATTGATGTACTCAAAAGAGTATACTTTGAGTGTACTTTAAAGGACGTAATAAATAAAAATTATTATTTTTTGAAACTTTTTTTTACTATTATTTTACATAATTAATGTGTACTTTTTTTTATTATGCTGTTTAATTTTCAAAGCTATGAAAGAAAGAAAGAAGAAATGATTAATGAAAATTTTATAAATCTTACCGGGATTCGAACTTCTGACCGCTGTGTTTTTAGATAAATTCTGCGTTGCTACCTCTACTCCACCGAGTTGTGTTATCTTAAGTAAAATTTTTGGCAAATAACACATTTAACTTTGATTTTAAATTTTAAAACTTAAATGACGCTATTGCTTGCGTTTTGTCCGTCCGTTTGAAAGGAAGGTTAATTAAATTAACTTTTTCTGAAATTTTACCTTACGTTTTACATACGTATTTTTACGTAGCCCTTAAAAAGGTGAATTTTCTCACAACTTGTGGTCACGGGTTCAGGCCTCACCGTGAGTAACTTTTTTTTCATTCTTTTTACACTTTTTTGGTAGATCATGATGTTTTATGATAAATTTCTCCATTTTCATATTTTTCCACGCGTTTTCCGAGCTTTTCACGGAGTTATTCATTTTTTTCCATACATTTTTCATACCAAATTATTTTTTTGCCATAACTTTTGTATCTTTTAAACTTTTAATCTGAAATTTGGCATGTAGGTTAAGTGGTATATAACCTGAATATATAACCGACGCCATTTTGGATTCTAAGGGTTGGAAACCTATGTATAATTTATTTTAGCTATAACTTTGAACTTTTTTGAGATTATAGGTTGTAATTTGGCATAGAGGTTAATTGACTGTTTCTTAATGTGAAACCGATGCCATTTTGGATTCTAAGGAGCAAAAATAAAGCAAAAATTGCTAAGAACTAGTGTATCGGGTAGAAACCCAAGTTATCCATAAGTTTGAAGGCATAAAGCTTGCGAATCAGCTGAGCTTCGCTCAGCATAAATTTGAAGGTATGAAGCTAGCGCGTCAGCTGAGCTTCGCTCAGCATATGTTTGAAGGTTTAAAGCTTAACGAACATTCTTTGAAAGATTTTTAAAATTTTTTTTTTCATCAAAAGTTTAATTTTATAAAAATCACAGTGAACTTTTGTTTTGAAAAATTCGTAAGAAAGGAATTTTTTTTGCTTTTTCTGAAGCAACGGCTGTTTCTACCTTGCCTAAAAACAATGCAGCTCTTCTATAGAGCAGCACGAATCAAATGTAAAAAACTAGAAGTCTCTACGATGTCTCGTTTCTTGCTGATTAACTTGCTGGCTTGTTTGCTTACAGAAAGCGTATTTTGCGATTTTCTCAGCAATGTCGCAATCAATTTGAAATCTGTGTTTTGCAAAAGATGTGAAATTCCAGGCATAAAACTTTTCATCTCTGACCATTTTAAGCTACCTTGTTCCATATCCTCACAAAATTCAAAAACCTGATTTTTTTATCTGAACAAAACCAATAAATTCACACGTGAAAACCCAAAAATGTTTACTGTGATGAAATTTCCAAGTACTCCACAAACGAAATTGAAAAAGTCAAAATTAAAGCAACTGAAGCATCCAAGTAAAAAATTTTTAGATGTCAAAAGGTCTTAAATCATGATTCTCATCAGTTTCAATCAAAGTTTTGGTCATAAACTGTATCAGGAGGAAGTATTGCAAAAATTTCATTTTTCGACAATTTTTTTTCCAATACAAAAATACAGTGCTGAAGCATACAAACGATTTCAAACTGATATTTATAAACTTTTTTTTTTTAAATTAAACCTAGAGATTCTTGTAAGTAAATATTTGTTAAGAGTGAGAATTTAAGTATAATCCAATTGGATGTGACATGTAAAAAAGACGTGCTTAGAGTATATTTGAGAGTGCACTCAGAAAGTGTACTCAGATGAGCACAATGTTTCTTACATAAACTTATTACAAAGACGTGCTCAGAGTACATTTGAGAGTGCACTCAGAAAGTGTACTCAGATGAGCATGATGTTTCTTAAATAAACTTATTACAAAGACGTGATCAGAGTACATTTGAGAGTGCACTCAGAAAGTGTACTCAGATGAGCATAATGTTTCTTAAATAAACTTATTACAAAGACGTGCTCAGAGTACATTTGATAGTGCACTCAGAAAGTGTACTCAGATGAGCACAATGTTTCTTACATAAACTTATTACAAAGACGTGCTCAGAGTACATTTGATAGTGCACTCAGAAAGTGTACTCAGATGAGCATAATGTTTCTTAAATAAACTTATTACAAAGACGTGCTCAGAGTACATTTGAGAGTGCACTCAGAAAGTGTACTCAGATGAGCATAATGTTTCTTAAATAAACTTATTACAAAGACGTGATCAGAGTACATTTGAGAGTGCACTCAGAAAGTGTACTCAGATGAGCATAATGTTTCTTAAACAGTGTTGCAAATGTAGATGTCTACACTAGATGAAGAATGTAGATACTTCAATAGTTTTTGTCTAGCTAAGAAACTTTCTTCATAAAGATCGATTCTATATCAAGATAAATATCTAATTTACACAAAGATTTTTTCTACATAAAGATTCTGTCTACATAAAGATTCGATGTATATGTCTACAATTCTACATTTTTTCCAGATCTACATCAGAGAAGAATGTAGAATTGTAGACATCTACATCGAATCTTTATGTAGACAGATTCTTTATGTAGAAATAATCTTTGTGTAGATTAGATTTTCTATCTTCATGTAGAATCGATCTTTATGAAGAAATTTCTGTCTCAGAATTTATCTAATCCAGACAAATAGCCAGAATGCAACACTGCTTAAATAAACTTATTACAAAGACGTGCTCAGAGTACATTTGAGAGTGCACTCAGAAAGTGTACTCAGATGAGCACAATGTTTCTTACATAAACTTATTACAAAGACGTGCTCAGAGTATATTTGAGAGTGCACTCAGAAAGTGTGCTCAGATGAGCATAATGTTTCTTACATAAACTTATTACAAAGACGTGCTCAGAGTACATTTGAGAGTGCACTCAGAAAGTGTACTCAGATGAGCAAAATGTTTCTTACATAAACTTATTACAAAGACGTGCTCAGAGTACATTTGAGAGTGCACTCAAAAAGTGTACTCAGATGAGCATAATGTATTTAAATGTGAATTATCAGAAAGATATGCTCTGAATATGCTCTTGAGTACACTTGAAGAGTGTACTGACGAGAGTATACTGTCTTTGAAATTATACTCACATTTGTCATACTCACAATGTGAGAGAGGACATACTCAATAAGTATACTCAAGAGAGCACATAAAGAAAATTTTTTGTATCATGTTGATGTACTTAGAGTATGTAAGAGAGCGTACTCAATGAATGTACTCAACTGAGTATACTACGTTTTTGTACTCATTATGTACTCATGAGAGTATGTTCATTTGAGCACATAAATTTCTATAATTGAGTATGCTCTTGCATGTGCTCAAATTTGTGAGCATGCTCTTTGCCTATTAGGGTTTTCGATTGTTATGTAACTTCTTTGAATCTTTAAGAAAATATTTATTGAACCTTTTTAAATAAAAAAAATTGTCAATATAAAGAATTAATTGATTTTGAAAGCTTTATCGCGAAAAATTTCATTGTTAATTCAACATAGTTTTGTTCGAATTATTTTAAATGTTAACAGTATTGAAGAGACAATATACTTTCAATTTTGAATTCATCTATTTTACTAAATGGAATGCTTTCACGTATTTCATATGTGTAATTGCAGAACGTGCTAGGATATTGTGATATATACTCCTTGATACGAGGATATTTCAATGCTGGCCTGACTTCTTTATCTTCGTTTTAACATGAAATAATGTCGTAAAATGAGCTTTAATAAATTCCAACATGTTGACAATTATTAATTTATTGTCCATCTGCTTGTCAAAGCTCTTAAAGTGTACTTATCTTACACGCACAAACGTTTTTCAGCATTAATATTTTGTTATGTTATAATATATATAGATGTGCTGATACAAACATATCACAGTTTTTAATGGTCAAAAATTTGAATTTTTTGTAAACACTAACACTATGAAAGAAAACTGACAACTTTTGTTTTGCAAAATTTAAAACTTTCTGCTGAGATTTGTTAATACAGGAGCATTGGAGACCATGGCTTAATAGTTGTGCGTTTATCGATATTTGAATGAAAATAAAAATTAAAAACTATAAAAAATTTTTTGTATTAGTACATACAAAATCTTGTATGGTTGAGTATGGCCGAGTATATTTTGTATAAGCACATTTATATAGCTTGATTTTATGATTAACTTGTAATACGAAACCTACCGACTTTTTTTTCATTCGGCTGGGGCAATAATTGAGATCTCATCAACCAGACTTCGTAGAGAACTCGGGTTTGTTTTAATATCTCAGTTCCATCATGTTAGGGTGACCATCTGCGTAGTTTTTCAACGGATAGTCCTGTATTTTTCAAGACTGTCCTGTATAAATTTTTAAATTTTGTTCTTAGTCCTGTATTTTTTTCATGAAAATTTCCGTTAATTTTCGAATTTTAGTCTATGTCCTGTTTTTTTCGAAAAAATTTACCAAATGTCCTGTATTTTCATGAAAATTAGATGGTAACCCTAGTTATTGGCCTCCCAGATGGTTTTAATCCTTAATAGTGTTTTATAGTATAATTAATGAGTTTTTCATTCCATTTGAAAAACACGTGATGAGTGCGTTTAGAAATTTCAATTTCAAAAACCGTTAAATGAAAATTTCTTTTGAATTCAGGAAAAACGTTAAAAGACAAATCCTGTTTTATTCAAAAGTTAATTTTGTCAAAATCTATTTACTTGATTTGAAAGAAATTATTTATTACATTAATCAACATAAATATTATAAACATGGCGGTAAAATTTCAAATTTTTGAAACCGCTAAAGGAAGCTTTGCTAAAGGTAAACTTTTGGAGCTATTTGCTTATTGACTAGCCTTGAAGTCCCTCGATCAATAACACGAGGACTTTTATATTTTTTGTTCCCAAGACTGTATAAAAATTTTCTGCCTAAAACCTGATCACTTTCTACAAGACTGAGTTTAAATTTGTGAAGTATGTAAGTTCCAAGGGGCTCTCATTCACGCTTTGATCAAAACTCAACTGGTGCCAAGAGAAAAAAAATAGTCTGTTAAATAAACTAATGTTTAATGCAAAATGGAATCTTACAAAAATCAGTATTTTATCCTCTTTTGACATGGGATCTCTTATTGTTTTAACTAATCGTCAGGCATGTTTTTTGTCAACCAGTTAAAGTTGACTGGATTTTTTTAATGGTCGCTTTATGTAAATTTATAAATGAAACCACCTGGAATTGTTGGAGGTCTTTAAATAGCAATTTGCTGATGTACCATAATAAAGTTAATTAAGAAAGAAAGAAGGAATTGTAGGATTCTAACTTAAATATATTGTTTCTTAATTTTTTAAGTTTCTGTTTGTCAATAGAAACTTATTATGCAAATTGAATTAGAATAACATTGAATTTACAGAGTTTTGATTAAAGCCATATGCAGCATGAAATGGTGGGGAATTGTAGTTTTGAAAGGTTGGAAACATCCTTTTTTTTGGAATCGAAAATCTTCTGAAGAATACTTATTATACGAATTTCATGATTAGTTTTGAGATAAATAAACAATTTTAGTTTTTATTTTCCAAAGAAACAGGAACAGTGCCGGTTATGGTCCCATAATCAATATATAACTGTTGAAAAATTAGTAAACATTCATTTATTTTCTAAATTAATCTTAATATACATACCTAGGTCAGATCTCCTAGGTTAAATAGACTTGTAATTTGTACGAAAGAATACGTACATGAACATTCAAAAGGTTTTCTTTCATTATTTACAATTAAAATTTTTTTAATCTACATCAAAACATTAATTTATTTAAAATAATTTACGAAAATTATAAAGAAAAGTATTTTGGTTCTGGTTTTTAATGCATTTTTTGAATTCAGTTGAAAGCTTAATAAAAATTTTTAAAGCTAATAAAAATTGATTCGATTTAACAAGAGTAATTCAAAAAAATAAGAAAATAAAAATTTTTAATATGTTCTTTAAAAAGTTATGGCCTATTAATTCTTCGGATGCATACTGAGTAATTTGAGTTAGAAATAAATATGGGACGACCATCAACCTCGAAAGTAATTCTTGCGCCAATAATTCTTGAAGAAAAACTTTCTGTATTGGTATTTTATGATTTTACAGACCGATATAATATGAAAAAATTCCATAATATTTAAAGGGAAGATACGAGATGGTTAAAATGAAGCATAAATTCCAAATTATTGAATCGACATGAGAAAATCGTCCGGTGATACCAAACAGCAGTTGGAATGTGTATTGTTTAGCATATTTTTTTTTCTTGTTCTCAGTTTTCATTATGAAAGAAAATGGAATGATATGAAAATTAAAAATATTTTTCATGATGGAATTTAGAAATTTTTACTATTTATATTTCTTTTTCTCTTAATGTACGTTTATAAAGTAAAACTTGATTTTATTGATTTTTTTTTCTTGTTTAAAGATCACAATTCAATGCTACAACATTTTCGATTTTTCTATTGTTCCAATCAAGCTCAATTTTTTTTTATAATGTGTATTCTTAATTAAATAGTTTAACTGACAATACAATAATTGAGCACTTTTAACCATTAGAAATGGTTATTTATAGTACAATTAAGTAAAAAATATTTTATTTTTAAGAAAATCCTATATTAATCAATATCAATTAGCTATGTGAATTTTGAATTTTTAAGAACTTTTTATTTATAATTTGAAAATTAATTTTTATGATTTATTATGCAATTATTATTATTATTTACCAAGCGTGGGCGTAGTTTATTAATTTCTTAATTCAGCTTAGATCTATGAGCTTTTAAAGCTATAAAAGCTACGACCCGAGGTTTTATTTTATTTTAAACTGTTTGGTTTTTTGTCTCTGGTATAAACCGAGTTTTTAAAAATTTTACCGTTTTTCATTTGCTACTTTTTACAAATTTTTCATATCAAATAAATTTTAAGAACTTTAAAATTTGATGAAACAAAAATCAAATGGTTTTTTAAGTGTTGATATGGTCTATTGATTAAAATATGTGTCGTTCAATTAAAATGTAGCTTATAAAACTCATAAATCATCCAAACTAATTCTTCTTTATTTCAGCTATCTGAAGATATTGGTTATGTACTGTATAGTGCACTTGGTTCATTCTACATACCATCATGCATAATGGTTTTTGTTTACATTCGAATTTACTATGCTGCAAAGGCTCGTGCAAGAAGAGGTATACGAAAACAACCAAGAAAACTGCCAAATGAACAGGTTAGAATTAATTTAGAGTTCGAAGCCGATGAAATTTTGTATGGACCTGACTCCGTTATACAAAATCGATAAAAATCTCAAGTCGACTTCTAGAGCTCTTGATAATTAAAATACTTTCATTTTCATATAATTTTTGCTTTTAGGAAACAAAGTTTTCAAATCCACGGACTAATATTCCAATGCCCCCTGGTCCAAGTGCTTCAAAAGAATGTTCGATGCATCCATCTCAAATAGCAACAATAGAACAACCGCCAAATAATGGTTCAACAACGTGCAATAATAATGGTTTACCAGATCAACAAGTGCCTGGCACATCAGCAAATATATCAATACCTATGGTAACCTGTGATTTTGCTTCCGATGTTTCGACAAGTGAAGCTGGTGCTGAAAATGAAAATGATATATATAAGGATAGATTGCAAGTAGATTCAGTGGCTTCACCACAGGATGGTAAGTCACGTTTAGCACTGTCAATAAATGATACATCAAATTATGATAGTTCAGCAAATGTTAATTCAACAATGTTTATAGAAAAATCATACGCAAGTGATATTAAAAAATCATCGCCTAATATTGGGCGGTGCCGTGCCCTTTCAGTAAACATTGATACTGATGCAGTTAGTGAATTTGAACCATCAAGTAGTGATTCCGGTGTAGCTAGTCGATGTGCGGTAGTTAAACCATTAAAATTTCGATTATGTCAACCAATTTTTGGTAAACGGTTTACAAAATCGACAAATAAAGAGCAAAATCTCAATCATCACCACCACCACCATCATCATCATCAGCATAATAAAAAAGTGAAAAATCAAAATAAAAACCAAAAGTCAGTGTCAACTGGCATGCCATCAAACTGCGAAATAGAGCCGGCAATCCCCAAAGTTAAACAGCGTGATCCAGAGAAAGAGAAAAGACGGATAGCACGAAAAAAAGAGAAACGAGCAACTTTGATTTTGGGACTTATAATGGGAAGTTTTATAGCATGCTGGCTTCCATTTTTCTTCCTGTATATTCTTACACCTGCCTGCCCTACATGCGAAATTCCGTCATGGGCGTTTGCACTAGCTTTCTGGCTTGGGTATATGAATAGCGCATTAAATCCTGCCATTTATACAATCTTCAATAAAGATTTTCGTCGAGCTTTCCGTCGCATATTGTTTAAGTGATGTTTATCTTATATATGCTGTTATAGATGCGTCTCGCGTTCTATTGAAAAAGCAACAGAAAAAGCTATGATGGGTGCAAGATCACCAATGTATGGCCGCTATTTAAGGCAGCATTATTAAATAATTTATAAGTAAATAAATTTTTTCCAATTTACAATGAATTTAAATAAAAATTTAAATTTAAATTTATTTTTAATTAAATTAATTGAATAGTAACATATTAGCCAAAATGTTAAGTTTTTAAAATTTAAAATACATTTCTTAGTAATTTATAACTTTTTAAAAACAATGCATTTTAGTTTTTGTTTTAATGATTAATTTATTTCTTTGAATTGTTGATAGTGAAATTAAATACAATAAAGAGAGTATATTTTTCTGAAACCAATTAATATAAGTATTAAAAAAAATACAGGGAATCTTACAAGTAAAGTTCATCTTGCAAAATTCAAAGAAAAACCTGAGAGGAAGATCCATCATTGGTATATGACGATAACAAAATGAAGAAGTAATTATTAAAATTATTATAGAAACAAAATAATAGTATTAATATAATTGTAAAATAAATTGTAACATTGAGCAAATGTGTTCAATATTTATGCATACACATATTGTTAAATAATTTATTTATAAGCAAAAAGAGAAAAAGTATTGTTGAAATGAAAGATGAAAAAAGTTTAACAATTACAACCGGTATGTTGATTTTTTTTTCGCTCTTTTCAATTTTCTACCCTCATTGCGTGTATATGTGTGTAAATAACAACAAAACCTCATAAAAAGTTTTTTCTTTAGTATTCAACATATTTTCAATATTTTTCACCATCTTTTCCTCGTGATTTACTTTTATGAATGTCGGTAAAATGTTTTTTCACATAACTGGATTATAACGTAAATGTTCAAATACATAAGAATTTGATAAAATAGATTCATAATTAATAAATAAAAAATCATAACACCAAAAAAACATATAAGATAAAATTTAAAAAATTACGACTAAGCGAAGTAGGAACAATTTTCAATCATTAAAAGAATGATTAATAACATTAACAATAAAAAAAAAAGTTTTCAATAGATAAGTTTTTATAACATATTATATAAATGTAAGAAGTTATTATCTGTTAATATTTTACAGATATTACCAAAAAACGTAATTATTTGACTTTATAAAAATGCACAATAATAATGAGGCATAATATAGATAAATAATTGATGAGAACTAAATTAATATAATATAAAAAGTAGAAAACAAAATATTACAATTTCTATTTTGTACCTTAAAACAAAATAATAATAATAATATAGAATAATATAGGATTTCTATATATATAAATATACATATTTAAGAAATGATGCACGAAGTAATTAATAGAAATGAAAAGCAGAAAGCAGGAAAAGTTTTTCATCTTTAACAATCATGAGCAATATAAAGTTTTGATGTACACAAATATTGTTCTTGAACAAAAGATATTCTTTCTTTAACAGAACGAATGCGAAATTTTCAAAAAATTATTTTTTTTCTCTCTTAAATACAAATTTCTGATTTGTCATTGGAATTTTTTAAAAACTTGCGATTACCATAATTTTGGGAGGAAAAAAAACACAACGAATTGAAGAAAAAAAAAATCTGTTTTCCTAGTAATTGTTTAATAATGATGAAAATTATTTTTATGAATCGTTATTATTGATCGAATTCGCGATTGTTTATTGAAATTTTGAAAAAAGATTTACACACACAAATCAGTACTTAAAGTTGAGTTAAACAAGAAATAAATTTTAGCAAGTGGAGTTTTATTTTTAAAGATTTGTGAATCATTTTAAATAAATATTTTTTTTACAAAAAAAAAGAAAAACTTTGTACATGACAAGTTCCTATAAAGTTTACGTTTAAAAAATCAATACTAAAGAAAAAAAAAGTTTAAGGCTTTCTTAATTTTTTCATTGTATTCTTCTTCTAAATTGCTTTAAAATTAACGTTTATAAGCCTAAAGTCCTTAATGAAGATAAAGTCGATAAATTAACTAGTGCTCAATTTGTTAACGTTTGAAACCGTATATATAATTTTTATGCAAACTTCGCATATTAAACGATTCATTATCATTGTGTTTCCAACTGTAAACATAAGATAACAATCGTGAAAAGTTAATGCGATTAAATTTAAAAGGTTTTCGGTAATTCAAAAGTAAACATACAAACTTTTGAATTATTTACATCTTCTAAAAGCTCGCATTTTATTATGAGTTCAAAAATTTGTTAAGTTTTTAATAATAAATAGCATTAAAAGTAATTTTCAATGGTAATCGCTAAAAGAAATTTGAATGAAATGCGTGATTTGAACGCTCGTTTGTACTAAAGGGAGACAAAAAATTCTACAAGTAATAAAATTTAAAATAGATGATGTTAAGCCCCCGTCTTCTATTTGAATAAAGTTTGAAAACAAAATCTAGCTTTTATGCTTTGTGTTCACATATGATGTGAGGAAATTAAAAGATTTAAGCTTTCTTTTATTATGATACATTTTTTTTAAAAAAGATTACTTCATAAATTCTAAATCTGTTAAAGTCTGACAAATCATTTTTTTACAATTTACCTGTACTCATCATCTATCTCGATGTCATCAAATTTCAAGTAGTTAATATTTTTAAAAATATTGCCACCAGTAAGGTTTTCAGGTTTTGATTATACTCATAACTATAAATAAATAAGTATACTTTATGAGTTTTCTATTTAAAAACAGTTTTTGGTGGTTAGTTTTTGTAATATTTGTGGACATATTTCTTTACCGAAGAATTTCTTTGTGATTTCTATTAACTTTTAATTTTCAACGATCATAATTGAACTTCATAGCCTTTAATCTTCAATAAAATGAAATAATGAAAATTTAACAAATTGAAATTTTCGTACATATATATTCAAGATTGAAAACTTAGAATCAATTGATCATAAATAAAAGTTACTTTACAATACCCATAAACATTAAGTTTAATAATTGGCATCTGAATATTTACAATCTAATGTTTAGATAACTGAACAAAGCAATTTTTTTTTACAAAATGAAGTTTTTATAATATGATAAAAAAATGTGAAATAATTCTTCCAAGAACCTTTTTAAAAATATAATATTTTTTTATATTCTACAGTTTTACAAAATATGATAACTTTTGAGAATAAAAGCTCTTGTTTTTAACAATGACCAAATTATTATTCAAATTTCTCATTTTTTTTTATCAAGAGCATGTGTCATTGTAAATACTGATTTGGAATCACGACATCTTATTTTAATTAAATTGTTTAAATCATGAAGCTTTTATACTTAAAAATAAAGTAAACCAACTCGTAAAATGTTAACTTCCATATGTGTATTTATAAGATTTTTTATACAGAACCAAGAAGTATTTATAAATTTCAAAAAAATATATGACCAACTTTTAAAATTAAAAGTTCTTTAATGTCTAAAGTTCTAATAAAGTTTATATTTTTTATATTGTTTCTTGTTAACATTTAAAAGATAATAAAAGACATCATTATATATTCATATTTCTATTTTATTTTCTATTTTATATATTAAATGTTATATAGTAGAAAAAATCGCATGAAGTATATGATGAATACTATCGCATGAATCAAAAAGATCATTAATCACGTTATTATAAAAATATATTAAGAAAAGAATCAAAAATAAAACAAAATTGTATCATAAGTACTTAATTGATGTTCATATTAGAATTTTTTTTCGATGTTTGTCTTTTATTAAAGAAAGTAACCCGAATAGACAAAGAGCGTGCTCACTTTTGTGAGCACGTTAATGAGCATGCTCAAAATCATCATTTAATGTGCTCACCTGAGCACACTCAGTTGAACATGCTTGTGAGCACATTGTGAATATGCTCACAAAAAAACAAATTTTTTGAAATTTTTTATTTTATTGAGCATGCTCGAGAGCATACTCAATTCCTAAATCTAAGCATGCTCACTTGAGTACACTCTTAAGCATACTCGTGAGCACATTGTGAATATGCTCACAAAAAAATCAATTTTTTTAAATTTTTCATTTTGTTGAGCATGCTCGAGAGCATACTCATTCTCGAGAGCATGCTCATGAGCATACTCAATTACCAAACTTAAGCATGCTCACTTGAGTACACTCTTAAGCATACTCGTGAGCACATTGTGAATATGCTCACAAAAAAACAATTTTTATAATATTTTACATTTTATTGAGCATGCTCATGAGCATACTCAATTCTCAAATTTAAGCATGCTCACTCTTAAGCATCCTCGTGAGCACATTGTGAATGTGCTCTAAAAAAACATTTTTTTTTTAAGATTTCACATTTTATTGAACGTGCTCAAGAGCACATATATTGAGCATACTCTGAGTATGCTCATGATTTTGTATATACTTCACAAGTCAAAGTTTTCTAGAATTATAAATAGTTATCTCCTTTTTAACTATAAACATTGTTTAAAAACATTTTGAGATCAATTTCGAAGTATTTAAATTTGTTATAGTTTATATATGAGTTTTTGCCATAATAAATTATTAAGGTAAATTGCAGCAGTGGTGTAATGGTTATGGTAATGGTCTTATCAACAGAGCGGTCGTAAGTTCGAATCCAGGTAAAATCCAAAATTTTCTTAAGTGTCTTTTTCAGATTATTAATGAACAAAATTTATTCTAGAATTTAAAAACCTTACTATAGTAAAATATATCAAAAAAATAATTTCAAAATTTAATTTTTTTGAAAATTATAAAATAATGTGAGTACACTCAGTGAGCATGCTCAGAGTACACTCACGAGCACACTCACTGAGTGTACTCAAATGTCACATCATATGACATAAAAAATGTTGCGTGTCACACAACAATTTGAGCATGCTCAAAATTTGTTAAAATAACGTGCTCAGAGCATGCTCAAAAAGCGTGCTCATTAGCGTAAAGTAGTGGCATCACTTTTCGTATGAAAGAGCACGCTCACGCGAGCATGCTCAGCACTAAATTTGAGCGCGCTCATAGCGTGCTCTTTGTCTATTCGGGTAATATCCAGATAAAAAAAATATTCAGATACAAAAAAAAAATGATTAAATAAAAGCAAACGATGCAATCGAATAAAGTAAAAAGTAAATTTGATATAAAAAACATGAATTGATTAAGTTATTAACTTATTCAAACATCTATTATCCATAGGTTTTATAAAAAATTATTATTCATCTTATCATAAACACATCTAGCAATAAATTAGTTTAATTCATTTATGGTCAAGAGAATAACGTGGATAATTTTGAATATAAATTAAAAAATTATGAAAATAAAAATGAACAAGCTCATATTTTTATTCGTTTCGGAAAATGAAAAAAAAATTATGGAAATCAATTAATAAAATGAATAATTATTTCAAAAAGATAATTTTTAAAGTTAAATTATTAATTTCAGAAGAATTTTTGTTTTTGATTTTATCATAGGAAAGCTTTGTAAGGCGCAATTTCAACACAACAAATAAGCGGTTCGTCTTGTTATTTTTCCATATATTTAATCCTGTTTCCAAACAAAAAAATCCAAAAGTTTTTGTGTTATTGATCGAGGGACTTCAGCGAAAGTATTTGATTAACAACAGGAGTTAACAAATTTTTACAAGAATTTCCATATAGAAAGCGTTTGTCAAATAGCGGTTTTTTTGATATTTAAATTTCATAAAAGTCATTTTATATTTGAAGTTTACAAGCCACAAGAGAAGAAAACTCATTGTTAAATATTTCCAATAATTCCTTAACGACTTTTCGTTAAGGAATAAGTAAATTCAATTTGTTCCAAAGTCAACTTTAATGAGTTTATCCTCTGCGTATTTTATAGAAATCTGTTTATGTTTATTGATTTCGTTGAATTCTATGCATGCTGTAGCAGACTCGTCACAATCCATTTAAACAATATTCAGAAAGTCAGTTATAAACTTCATCACAGGTGAGTGAAATATCGAGAACGGATAGCTGCCATTAATACGATTTTTATGAAGCGTGAAACCGCTATAGGGACTGTCTTCGGCGCTATTGCTTTTACTGTTACTTGTTCAAGTAAAGTATCATTAAATGAGGCGCATACGTGTAAATGTATACGA